GCACATGAGAGCATGGTTAGGACAGTGGTCTTTAATCTTTCCAGACCCAGGACCCACCTTTAACATCAGGCAACAGCATGGGACCCACTGAACAGTTACTACCTGGTATGTCGTGACTGGAAGGGGAGGCACCAGTGCTGGCCTGTGGTTGCGGCCGGTTCTTTGTGGGGGGGGGGGGGTAACAAAGATAGGGGGGAGGTGTGGCAGGCACCCTTATGCATTCAGCAGTAAGTCTTTCCAAAAAAGCAGTAGAGAGAAAGGCAGCTGTGTAGGGGCTCCGCAACCCACCTGAGAGACCTTAATGTTCCCTCTAAGCTGTGAAGTCTCGTGACCCAAAATTCTACTTCATGAGCCAAAAGACCTACTAGGATTAAAGTTGTGAGTGAGCCTACATTTAAAAAAAAACAGAAAGAAAGAAAATAGATGGGAAGAGAGATAGGAAGAAGTGGAAAGAAAGCAAATAGATGGGGAGAGTGGAGAGGAAGGAAGGAAGGGCTACCACTGAACCAGTCTAGTATCTGCTTTCACTTTGAGCATGACAATTTCATTTAACTGAATCTTTTATATTTTAGGATTGATTAAGGTAATAATATTTGATTTTGATTCTTTATAGAAATACAAAAAGCATTGATGCATGTGGTGTGTTCTTTTTAAGGTATTTGATCATCCCCACTTCACCCCCTGTGATGCTCCCAAAAATCTCGATCTTTTTCTTGTTTGTCTTTCTGTCAATAGAACCTTAATTGTGACAATGACTTTAAAATCTGCAGGTATTCTTTCTAAATGAATTTCTTCCTTACGTGATAAATATTGTACTGCGGTTCTGAAACCTAATTTAGGGTTGTCAGCTCCATAGATCTTCAACACAGTCTTCAAGTGAACTATGCACATCACGAGCTATGCACATCTCTTCTTGCAGACTGTAACTATATAAAATATAAGAGGCTCTGTAACGATTCCATGTTTTATTGTGTGTGTGTCGTTAAAAGTGGTTTGTATGAATGTATGGCAGACTAGGATGCTGAACTCAGGGAAGTGAGATGATTGGTGAGTGACAGAGAGGGGGAGGGGTTTTGGAATGAATGCTGTGTGGATGAACGGATATGTCAGTCAAGAGTTACAGTTAAGGATGACAGTTAGAGAGTTCTGAGTTACAGAGTGGAGATACAGTTAGACAGTACAGTTAAACAGAGAAGAAGAGGCTTCCCTGTGTGGGTTGCTTAGTTCGGAGTAAAACAGTTAGTCAGACAGCAGAGAGTGCTGTACAAAAGCAGTTAATATATTAGTTTTGTCCTGAGGTCTCTGTGTGAGACGGTTCCTGTGTGAAACATAAGAGAGAAGTCTGGTGTGTGTTAAGAAAAGTTGAAGCATAAAGAAACAGTGACCATATATGGCTAAAGGAAACTATTGTTACATAGTGACATGCCCAGAGCCCTGTCAGTGAAGAGAAAAGTGTGTGAAACAGCAAATAAATCTACTTTTATTTAAGATAACAGTTCTGAACGAAATTCCTCAGGAAATAACACATAGTCCTTCATGAATGCCTAGACCCTGGCCACATTACCAAACCAGAAGAAGAAATATATTATAGTAAGAGGCTGGGAAAGTCTTAAATTTCCCTGGTGGCGGCGAAAATACCCTATAGAGTAAAAACATAAGAACTTTTAAAGGCAAACCAGACCTCCCCAGATAAGAGGTCGTCACAGGCTCTATCACTCCTAAACAATTGGATTCAGGACAGCACTTACTTTAAAAAGATCCATTTTACTGGGATAATACTATAGTATAAAACCTGAAATTCTATTAAGATAACTTACATCTGATACAGCTTTTTTAGAATGACTTTGTGATATATAAATCTACATTTAATGTTAGTCCATGCTACTACGTTCCTCACAAACTTCAAGGGGAAAAGTGTGAGAAAGAAACTTCTTTTTTTAAATAGCTTTTTATTGCATTCTCATCATAACAAACAAAACACAATCAATTGTAAAGAAAAATGCTCATCGTAAGAGAAGCTTCACCCAGCATTGTGTCACAGTATCAAACAAATCTTTTTAGCCTAACCTTTCAAATCTTCTCATCCAATTATTCATCTTTCTCCAGTTATTTTCAAAAAAGGATTCTTCTTTCCCTTTTAACATAGTTCTTAATTTATCCATTTCAGCAACATTAAACATTTTTTCTATGAATTCTGCCCTGTTTGAAACTTTATCTGTTTTCCAGTATTTGGCATAGAGAATTCTGGCAGCAGTAACACTATGAATCAGCAAAATTTTATCTATTTTTTCATTCACTTCTGGTATCATGTTAAGAAGGAACAATTCTGGTTTTAATGGTATTAAACATTCAATAATTTCCTGTAATATTTTTTTAATCATCAGCCAATATTTCTTTGTTTTAGTACATGTCCACCACATGTGGAAATATGTACCTACATTTTGCTTACATTTCCAACAAGTATTAGATATTGCTGTAGAGTATTTAGCTAATCTAGTTGGGTACAGATTCCATCTATGTGCCACTTTATATATATTCTCTTTGTATGCAACCGCTCTGTTAATTTTAATATTAGTATTCCACATTTTCAGCCATTGGTCTAATTCGATATTATGGCCTAAATCTTTAGCCCAGGCTAGCATACTAGGTTTCACCGTTTCATCTTGCATTTTAAAATCTAATAAGATCCTATATAATTTCTTTATGAGCTTTTCTCCTGAATCCAACCAGATCTTATCTATATCAGTCGGTTTTTCATAGAACCCCTTAATCTGGTCTTTTTTATATCTTGATCATAGTTGTAATTTTTGTAGCAAAGACATTTCAATATTTTGTGTTTTTAAAACCTCTATTGGTTTCAGTTTGTTTTTACTATCTAACAGATCATCATAACAACATCTTCATTCGTTACTGTACAAAGAGGGCTTCACAAGAGCCAGTTTTTAATCTTTTCAAAGTCTTCATTTTAACATAATGATAATGCTTAATTTCATTCCAGACTTTCAAAAGTGGACCTCTTATGAGATGTCGTTCAAAGTATTTCCTTTCTTTATTATACCAGATAAAGGCATGCCATCCCATTACAAGGTCATGACCCTCTAATTTAAGAAGTCTTACATTAGATAAGGTCACCCATTCTCTTATCCAGACCATTGCTGTAGCTTTATAGTATAGGTACCAATCTGGTAGCCCCAAACCGCCTTATTCTTTCCTATCTTGCATCATCTTAAGTTTAAATCTAGGTTTTCTAGATTGCCATATAAAAGAGGAAACAATTTTTTAAAGTTCTCTAAAGAATTTCTGGTTTTTAACAATAGGGAGAGTTTGGAAAGCAAAAACAAAACGTGAAGGAATACTCATTTTAATTGTGGCGATTCTACCCAACAGCGATAACTGCAGCCCTTTCCAATTTTCAACTCCTAACAACATTTTCTTATAATTATCAACGTATCGTGAACTACATTTATTTGTTAAAATGACCCCTAAATATTTAATTATTTTACATAATTCAAAACCCAACCTTTCTTGTAGTTGTATATCAATTTCCTTTGTGCATTTTTTCATAAGTATTTTAGTTTTTTGGGAGTTTATTTTTAATCCTGCTACTTGTCCATATAGAGAAAGAAACTTCTTAATCATTTTTAAAAGTGCTACAATCCATTATATAAGCCATGGAATCTTCTTCATTTCATTGGGGATGTTTATATATAGAAACGCTCCCAGTTCATGCAAGTGATTGCCTCATCAGGAATATATTGTTTCCCTTTGTCCTGAGTGTCCTTCCATGAGTTGCATAAAGAAATGTGGGTAAATGAGAAACCATATATACACATGAATGAGGCTCAAGAACCCCAAAGCACACTTTCTGTTCATTTCAGTGGAAGAAACCAGATTGTTCCCTTATTTCTTTTTACCTTTTCTGTGGCATGGTCTCAAGGAGAAAATAGTTGCAACAGCTGGCAAGCCCGGCAGGGAGGTCTGCTCCTTCTGATGAAGCAGCATTCCAAAGGACACTGTTTCTTTCACAGCAGGATGTTTTTAAAACCTCTCTCCCAGCCCCAGTTCTAGTCATCTTTTCCCCAGGGCATTGTGGGAAGAAAAGCCCCAAAGCGCACCTAGAACTTCCTCTTCTGTTCCTGCCTTTCTAGCAAACAAATCCCACCTTTGTGGTTAAAAAGGGGAGGGGGAGAGAGCCTGCTAAATGTAAGTTTTCCCTCAGTTCTAGCCCACAGAAAAAAGTGCCCTTTTAAAAAATGGACTCCCCAGCCCTCAAAAAGGGCGGGGAAGTCAATTCCTTCACAGGTCCCACAGGTACACCTGTCAGCTGTTTTCTTTAAATGGCTTTCAGCTCTCTTGCCCTTCCTCTCCAGGGGAGGAGACCTCAGCTGGTGGGGGGAGGGGAGGGGAGGCTTTGTGCTTCTTCCCCTTGCATCCTGGGGCAGGAAGCAGGGGAGAGTTTCGTCCCCCTGTGCGTTGCTAGGGATCCATGTGCTGGGGGCTGGGAACTTCTGTGCCAGCACAGGCTGGTGCACCTTAGAGGAAACACTGGTCCTGACCAGTGGGTTGAAGACCACTGTGTTAATTGATACGCCTTTGATGATGTGACTAAAGTTGTTGGATCCTTTGATGAGTTCTTCTGAAGTCAGAGTGGATACCAAAGTTGGTTGCAGGGACTTACCCCTAGGCTTATATTTCCATTGGTAGTCCACTGTATTTGAACAGTAGCCGCTTAAGATTGTAGGGTTCTGTGTAAGTAATAATCAGCCTACCCCAACCCCAGGCCTGTGAGACAGAAGAGTTTGTGTATTGGAATAATCCATTAATTTAGGTGGTTTCTCATACTCTAAAGCTAGTATGCCGTGGCACAAGAACATGGATAGGGAAAAATGTCTTTAATGCAAGAGCTAAAGGTTCTTTCTATTATTATTTCATTATTCAGGCTGCAGTGGAAGAACATTTTCTGGTTTTGCTGACATTCTTTTATCTTTGGTTGAATTCAGGTCCTCAGTATGGGACAGCTGAAAAGGCTTGGCAAGCATTTATGCTTGAAGCTGAAAAAGTAAGTGAGCTACACCTTGATGTAAAAGGTGCCCTAATGAACGAAGACTTTGAAAAGATTAAAAACTGGCAAAAGGAAGCCTTTCATAAGCAAATGATGGCCGGATTTAAGGAGACAAAAGAAGCAGAAGATGGCTTTAGGAAAGCCCAGAAACCCTGGGCCAAAAAGCTGAAAGAGGTAAGCTTTACCACCACTTAAATGCCTTGCCAAAAGACAATCGGGAACCCTTAGCATACAAGTATAGCCACAAATAACAGCCACCAAGGGAAGACCATCAACAATTCACAACTATATATGATCAAAATTTATATTACATTAATTAATTAAAGTACAAGGATGGGTTAGTGGTCATAACCCAATAGAATGTATAAACACATATCCAGCAGATTGCTCATAACAATTAGGCATTATTTACAAAAATAACTTGTTCAAAAATCAACAGTAGGCTCCTCTGTAATTCCATACATGAATAGTGTACATAGAAACAGAAAGTAACTGTGGCAGAAGAAACCCTCTGTGGAAAGAAAAATAGCCGTATGTCTCTCCCAGGTATAAATCAAGATGTTTTAATGATCTTCAACAGCGACTGGTAAAACAGAACCCTTCCCTATGTTATTTGGGAAATTGGGTTCCGTTTTACCAGCTGCTGTTGAAAACAATTGAAATATCACTAGTTGTACCTGGGAGAGAAGCATGGCCGTTTTTCTTTCCATGGTGGGTTTCTTCTGTCACAGTTACTTTCTGTTTTGAGGTCTATGGACACTATTCATGTATGAAATTACAGAGGAGACTACTGTTGGTTTTTTGAACACATTCTTTTTGTAAATTATGCCTAATTGTTATGAGCAATCTGTTGGATATGTGTTCATACATTCTATTGAGTAATGACCACTAACCCATCCTTGTACTTTAATGAATATAATATACAATTTTGATCATATATAATTGTGAATTGTTGATGGTCTTCCCTTGGTGGGTGTTATTTGTAGCTACCACTACATGCCTTGGCAAACTCTTCAACTTAGGGTTTGGGATAAGGAGTTCAGCCTTCTTGCTTCAGCTTGTCTGGTTGTTTTCATATTTCTCTTTTTGCCTTCTAGCCTTAGGACAGGAAGGAGGAGAGGTGGACTGAATTTGATCCCCGAAGGTCCACCTCGTCCTTTTCTGGCCAAAAGTAGATTACAGAAGACATGGGGCTGCTGCTCTAAGTTGGCCCCCTTGGATCTGCACTACAAAGCTTGCCAAGTAATGTGATTTTCTTCCCTGTTTCTCTGTGCAGAGAGAGATGATTTCAGAAGCAGGGAGATGCAGCAGGGTTCAGTAGCTGTCCCAAGTCTTCCCAGCAGTGAGAGGCTATATAGTGGGAAACGGCTTGAATAGTAAAATGCCATGTCTTTTCTCCATATTGTCTGGGGAGAGAGTTTACTTGCCATAAGGGGCTATGTTAGTGTCAGACCCATCCTGCCCATCTTGGGGTCTGAAGCCTTCCACCTTTGCATACTTCCCCAAGCAACTCTCCCTAGGCCTCAGATTAAGGCAGGGGAAAGGGTTTACAGCACCCATGACCTCCTCCTCCCTTGCAGCACGCCACTGTCCTAGACATAGACCAGCAAGACCAGCAGCAGGAATTGGTGTTAATATTTTCTTCTAAGGCTTCTTTGGTTCATGACTGGTTGCCCATTTATACAAACTGCAGATTCTTCTGAGGGATGTTCTTCTGAGATGTGTATCCTGGTTGTATTGAAAATTATACCTGAGATAACTTGTAATAGTCTTTACTGAAGAAGAATTTTGAAATGAAGTTATTAATATCTGGAACCTTTGTATCAACTCATCGGACTACTTACCTGCTTGACCTACTTATGCATCTGTGTATTATTCTTGTGCTTGTTGTATTTGATGACTTTGTTGTTCTTGATTTAATATTCTTATTCATGTCCTTAAATAAATATATTACTATATTGTATTTATGAGCTTCTGCTACTCTCAGCATCTTCTATTGTACGCAGCTTTGCTTATTTCTAGACATAGAGACAGCAGTGCTTCATGATCCCTGGACTGTCATGAAAGCCTCCCTTTTATCTCCCCTGCTTCTCACTCACTTCCCCCTCTTAGCTTTCCCATTGACCCTGGATCCCACCCGTCAGGCCCATCTGAGGTGGCGTGGCATCACTTACAAGTAGGGCAGGGCCATCCCACTGTGTGGCATGCCAGCACCATTCCCACCAGGCTCTGCCATGCCCCATGGAGAGGTGTCTTTGGGAAGGGGCCTCTGCAAGCTTGGGCTGTCTTCTCCACTGCCTGTCTGTATGGCCCCCAGGACTTCCAGCCCTCTTCCAAGCTTCACAATCCCATTGTCTTTCCTGCTAGATCTATTAGCATTTGTTAGAAGGTGAGGCTGGCAAGCTATTGATGGACTTCCTCCTTTCCAGAGAAAAGGGGGGGGGACCCTTTTAAAATGCCAAGTGGTGGTTTGCTCCTTGTAAACCTCCTGGGATAAAATGCATTCTGTTACACCTAACACTGAAAGATTTGTACTGGCTGCCCATTTGTTTCTGGGCACAATTCAAAATGTTGGTTTTTACCTTTAAGGACCTAAATGGCTTGGGGATAGGGTACTTCAAGGACCACCTGCTGCCTTATTGTCTAGCTCACCAGTTAAGATTTGGCCTTTCTCTGTATGTCCACTAGGAGTGTGGGGGGAAAATATCTCCCCCCCATTTCAGGTCTGTTGAACACGAAAAAAATATCAGTATTCTGAATATTCCAGAATACCAATATCAGTATTGCACTGGATGCAGGTAAATATTCAGATAACCTGGATATAATTGGCTCCATTATACCCTATGGGGACTGTCCCCATAGGGTATAATGAAGAATTGATCTGGGGGTATTCAAGGCTGGGGAGGGCAAATTTGCAGCATAGCTGCTGGTGCCTCTCTTCCCCCCCCCCCCCAAGTTTTAAAAAGATTGGACCAGGGGGTCCAATTCTACAGGCCCCCAAAGAAGATGCCCCTATCCTCCATTGAAACCAATGGAGAAAAAGTTCACTTGCCAAGTTGCGCCACAGTGGTGTTGCAACTTGGCAAGTGAACTCAGAAGGGATTTAAACTTTAAATGCCTGCTGAGTTCACTTGCCAAGTTGTGCCATGAGGGCGGCAGCGCAACTCAGCAAATGAACTTAGAAAGCATTTAAAGAGACTCCAGACTGTTTAAATGGCTTCTAGCTGCTCGAATAAAAGCTGAATAAATCAGCTTTTAATTGGGTGTGGCTATTTCAGTAGCCGAATCAGATTCTCCAATCTGTATTCAGTCCGTTATATATCGAGTGCACAACCCTAATTCTCACCTCAAAGGTGAGACAGGTGACAACCAAAGACAGGGCTTTTTCAGTAGTGGCACCTTGCTTATGGAATGCCCCACCTGGTGTCTATGCTGTTTTCTTTTAAGCAGCAGGCTAAAACATTTTTGTTATCCCAGGCTTTTAATTAAGGAGTTGACCTTTTAACAGTATTTTAGCCTGAAAACTGTTGTTTTGAGCTGTCTGTGGTCTGTTTTTATGGTTTTTTAAAAATTCGGGGTTGTGTTTTTAATGTTGAATTTTATTTAATATCTTTTTAATGTTTTATTTTATTATTTTTATTTTGTAAGCTGGTTGAGACAGATTTCTGGAGAGGTGGCATAATTTTTTTCTAAATTAACATATAAACTTATGTGCTTCTTAACAAATTAATCAACTTAATTGATGCACAGACCTAAAATTAAGATGTCACGGTGCTGCAAGTGTCATGGTGCTGTCACTTGGTGTTGCAAGTGTCAAACCTGCTCCTGTAGTAATTCATTAGCATTGCTTCAACTTCTGGTGTTCCATTGCTTATCCCTTTATCTAACTGTGAAGGGCTGACCGTCATGCAGATAGGAAATCAGTTTAACAGGCATAGCTATGATTTAGAGTTCTGTAATCCCAGGGCTAACATCTAGGCTTGCAGGGGGGAAAAACTGTTTGAAAAAAGCCCCTAATTTGGGAGGTAAACTAAACTACTCATATGTTGATAGCAACGTGTGCATTTGCAGCCATTGTAGAAGAAACGCAGCCAGGCCAGCCATAGGAACCTAGAAGAGCATGCAAACCTGCAGCAGCCAGGCAGCAATAATCAAGGAGGGAGTTTAGCAGTCCCATGATGGAGGTCAAAGACCCTTTGAGGGTGGGGGAAAGGAACAAGTGGTGTGTGTGTGGGGGGGAGAGTTGAAAGCGAGAACCGCTGCTGGCCAATAGGGAAGGAAAAGTAGTAAAAGGCCTAAAGGGAGTTCCTATCCTCATACTTCCACCCCTACCCTGTGTCTATCTAAACTGATTTGTATATGTTGAATTTTTTTAGTCCTGGAAAACAGGGTTAAAAAAAATAAAGGTCTCCTTGTTTCTTAGAACAATGTTAATTTCCTTAAGAAAATTTCCTAAACTCTGGTGACACTTGATAGTGCTGTACAAAGCTGAAGTGCCTGTTAAATTATGTCATTTAGGTGGAAGCTTCCAAGAAAGCATACCATGCAGCGTGCAAAGAAGAAAAACTTGCAGTATCCAGAGAGGCTAACAGTAAAGCTGACCCAACCCTGAATCCAGAACAGCTAAAGAAATTGCAAGACAAAGTGGATAAAAGTAAACAGGATGTGCTGAAGGTAAACTGTACATGCCAGAATGCTTTACAACTTGGTTTCTGAAGCAGATAAATAGCTATACAGTAAAAGCTCTAACTGATCAAATATGCCAGTTAAAGCTTGGAGTGTACTCCTCCCATCGTGCTATGTCAGTAAGGTACAGTTTGCTCTGTGCTCTGGGAGTGATCCCTGGAATGAAGCACAAAATTGTTTTGCATTTGTTTTATGCTGTTAGGATATTCATTCTGTGCAGATTAGGATGTGTTGTAGTGGTGAGCATATCACACTCCAACTCCCTCCCCCTCCCAATTATATTAAAAATCAGTCCCTTGCTCCTAGGATCAACTTGAATAATACATTTAGTTTAATAGGAACACTTAACACATAATCAGAGCTCTCAAATGAGGAAAAAATGTAATAAAACAAGATAAGTTATGGGGTAGAGTAGAGTTTGAAGGCTTCCTCTAGCTTAAGTGGCTCATCCACTGGACGAAGAGCCATATAATTTGGAGGAAAGCTTCTTGGAGGATGGTTGGATCCACCTCATTGTCTTAGGTGTTAAAGTATGATATAACATGTGATACCAAGGGAAAAACTGGAACATGAATATAAATATTAGCCTATATAACTGGATTGCATGGTTAATGCCAGTACTTTTTAAACCATAAAGCAAAGGTTATTTATATTTTAAAGAAACACTTAGAAATTGTGTTCACCAAACAGTAAATCTGATACGGCAAGCTTCTTTTACATTTCCAAGATCCATCAGATCTACAATGGAAGTCAGAATTCTCTGTCTTTGTACCAATTACTTTCTGCACGAATCAGAACAGTAGTAGTACTATTTTAGAAAAAAACACTAAAATTTATGGGGGGTGTTACTCAGCATCCGCTTGCTGGGAAATATTTCTGAACAGCAGAAATGTTATGAACACTGTCAAGCAGGTGACTGAGAAATTAGCATTCTCTATTTGTAAATTAATTCATTCGAAACCGAATGAGTGCCAGATCAGATTAGAACCTTGTTTAGGAGATCTGGCTTTATGGAATCCTTAGTCAAGCTTTAGACCTAATTTCAGCCTTGCCCTCTTGTTTTGAGTGAGTTTGGTAATGTAGCATGGTCAGCCTTTCCTTTGCTACAGCTTGGCTGATTTTCAGCATTTCCCACCTGGTCTATCTTGCTTTAATGATTACACAACAAAGACACACAAGCTCATTCAAGTGTAAAGAAAACTTTATTTTCACTTGAGGATAGGAGAGTATAGAGGAAACTTTTATTTTTGAAGTAAAACATTTTGATAAGTATTAAAACACCTGTTTTTTCAGTTAGGGTTTTTTCCCCCCTTTTTTTGGTATTGAGGGAAATATGGAGTGGGGAAGCTGATAATATGAGTAGGCAGGACTCCATTTTAAAGAACGAAAGGGGGAGCTTTTCTTTGGGTTATGAGGGAGGGAGCGATGAGGGAATAAAGTGAAAAGAAAGCAAAGAACAAAAAGCACACCAGGGAGATTTGTTTTAATAAAAGAATGCGGATGGTGATAAAACTACTCTCCTTAAATGTAAATGGTTTGGCCTCAGATGTTAAAAGATATAGAATTAAAAAATGTTAAAGGATCTTGATATATAGATATATTGTGCATTCAGGAAACATAAGAGTAGAAAGGATTTAAGACCATTGTTAAACTCACCAAGTTGGAATTTGCAAATAGAATCACGGGGAACAAAAAAAGCAAAGGGGAGTGGCTATACTATTACATTCTAGACTGAGTATAAATATTCTGGAGCAAAGCAAAGATAGAGAGGGTAGATTTATTTTTTTGAAATTTAGTATGAATGTCAAAAAATATACAGTAGCAAATATTTATGCACCAATTAAAGGTCAGACTTCATTCTTCATCAAGCAAAATGAATCTTCAGAGTAAGTCCGGTGTTTCATACAGGAACTAACTTACTTGACAGTAAAGAGTAAAGATAGAAATGAATTCCTAACTGTACATCCCTAGCTGTGAGAGAGTTATATTCTATGGAACTTCCAAGAAGGAGGATATTGCCACTAAGAGTAGCAATCTGGACACAGAGAGGGAAGGAAGAAAGGTCTTGACCCCACTATCTTATCTGACTAGCCTTGTTGCACCTGCAGCGTTGTTCATCTCTTTTTTGCACCTTTTGTAGTACTTTTTACACTAGACATTGCTTACACCAATAAGCCTTCTGTCAAAGTCTAGTGTACAAAGTCCACAAGATTCATCTTATGTAGACTTTCAGATCTTTTCCAAAAAGTGGTTTGGTGAGTGAATCCACAATATGCTCCAATGGTCCAGGAGTGGGACGTTCCTTACTTCTGGAATTAGGCTCCTCCTCCTGTAGCAGGGGCAGTCTTGCTGGTTGATCTAGTTGGGGGAGGGGCCTGTACCCCTGGACAGCCCCAGATTTTCCAGCCTTGCTGAACAAGCAGGATGTTGCTTGAAGGGCTCTACAGAGTGCGATGATCCAGGACCAAAGGAAGAACAGAAGACTGGGCCCATTGCTACTGCAATCGGTGGTTTAAAGGCCCAGACATTTTTCTTTGTGCCACAATCAGCAGCAGGGAAAGAGGTGAGCAGGTGGCTCTGGGAGCTCCCTAGTAGCTGCGGCTTCACCGTCGACTCCCACAGGGCTCTCACCTTTGGGTTGGAGAGCCCACCGCACTCCAACGGGGAACTGGTTGAGTCAGAGGAGGTGCCGAGGATGCACCGAGCTACCTGGCATATTCCCTGTGCACTGGGACCCCAGCACACACAGCTTGCAGAAGAAAGAATTCTTAGCTGGGAGCCTCACTCTTCTGAATGCCGGTAGGCAACCGGGGATTAAAGGGAGAGTTGGGCTGCTTGTGGTCACATACTGAGTAGCCCTGCATTGCCTGGAAGTCCCTTGGGATTGAATCCCATGATTGGGGGGGGGGATCCTCGCCCTGTTGTCCTTGTAAGAAGTCATCCCTCGACTCACTTGATGCAAAGGGAATCAGTGGATTAAACACTGAACATTCTCAAAATGGTCTCCATGAAGGGCTGTTGTGGAAGGGAGCAATAGGGAGAGCTCTGGAAGGGCAGGAGAACAATGGTGGTGGCCATTTTGTTTGCTCTTTTCCCTGATGGCAAGTTACTTTCACTTTGTCACAGGTCCCAAGTCTGCAAAACGGCAGATAAAGCTGGCCCATCTGATTCCCAGTAGAGGAAGAGTCCAATTAGGGAATTTGAGTTGCCCAGATATCCAGTCTCCCTGTCCACCCAGGAATCCTCAGAGTCACAGGACGTAGACTTAACTGGGGAAGAGGCAAAATCCAACCTTCTGCAATGTCTGAAGCTGGAGATGAAGAAAGAATTCAGAGAGTTGATTCAGGAAGCTAGACAAGACCCTAATGGGAGTATCCTCGGTTGGGGCAGACAACATAAACAGGCCTGCACCCAAAAGGGGAGAACACCTAGAAGTAATTCTGGTTCACCCCCCAGACCAAAAAAAGAACAGACAGGAATTTTCCCTATCAAGAAAACACAGCCCTGTGCTGGATGTTCAGGAAGGTGGCTCTGAATCCTCAGTCTTTTCCTAAGATAAGGAGGAAGGAGAGCTTTCTGAAGAGGAAGAGGTCCCTACAGTGCAGTCTAGGCTTTTCCCACAGGAGCTGTATGCACATCTTCTTCCTAAGGTGCTGAGGACCCTAGAGATACCTTCTAAATTTAAAGAAAAAGTGGAGACTGATTCAGATTTTAAAACAGGTTCAGGGAAGTTAATGCCAAAATTGTCAGCTGCACAATCAGATATTCTACTCCCTGCAGTATCATGTCAGCTGAATGGGAAAATCCTACTAGACCTAAAGCTAATAATCAAGTTTTCTCCAAATTTTATTGTCTGACACCAGAGGCTGCCAAGAGGATTAAGCTGCTGGTGGTAGATGAGCCAATCACCAGCCTGGCCTCTAACTCAGTTCTTCCCATGGATGCAGATGGGCTTCCTAGGGATCACTGTGACAGAAGACTGGAGCAAGCTCTTCGTAAGGATTTTGAAGCTTCATCTTGCTCTCTGAGGGCATCCACGGCTGGTTCCCTGTTTGCGAGGGCTGCTTATGCATGAGCGTCCGAACTAGCCTCTGCAGAATATGCTGTCTTGAAGGAATTTAACGATGAACTCAAAAAGATTGTCTTGGCTACAGTATTTGTGGCTTATGTCACTCTTGATGCCTTACAGCAATCAGAGAGAGCCATGGCATGCAGTGTGGCATCTAGAAGGAAGAACTGGCTCGGGAATTGGGATGTGGACTCATCAACCCAGGCTAAAGTCACTGCAGTTTCATTCAAAGGTGCAACCCTTTTTGGAGAAGGTCTAGATAGATATTTGGTCAAGGACAAAGACAAAAAGAAGGTGCTACCATCAAAAAAGGACTTCAAACCCCAGAAGAGTTTCAGTCCTTTCGTGATTCCAAAAAGATGTACAGATCAGGTTTCTCCAAGGTGTCCTAAGGAAGATGGCAACACAAGTCCCACAACCTTAAGTCCTCCTTTCCCAGCAAAGGTGATCAAGGGGCCAAAACTACTGAGAAAGGATCAACAGCGTGACTATGCTGACTCAGAGGAATTCTAGGGGAAAGAAGGCTGCTTACAATTCTTTGCACATCATTGGAGGGAGACAGTGACAGACCAATGGGTGCTAGACACCGTGTCCAATAGATATGCCCTAGAATTCAACATCTTTCCCAAAGATTGCATCCTTCGAATCCCAGAAAACCAGTCATTAGAGAAGCATCTGTTACTAGAAGTTGCCATTCAGCATCTCCTGGACCTAGGGGCCATACAAAGGGTCAGATACCTTTGATACACAGGGTGATTCAAAAGCTGTTGGAGCAGAAAGTGGAGTTGGTGAGGATCGTGCCGTTTTGGCCAAGGACAGCTTGGTTCCATGATCTAAAAGCTCTCTCTGTACAGGAACCATGGTGACTGCCTTTTCGGGACAATCTCTTGACTCATGGCACGAATCAACACCCTCAACT